TACATTACAATTATGTAATGCATTGTATTGTCTATAGACTCTACTGTATACAATAGTATTGTACGCCAAGGATTCAATTTGTCATATAATTACATCCATGAGTTAGAGATATTTATTAGTTTTTTGGGAATATTCTTTGTATTGAGAGGTATGGAGTAAAAGTAGACTTCCCTTTCATTGTCACTCAAACTATAATAAAAATGCTATATATTATATCTGTTGGCTTTTATTTGGCATAAATCGCAAAAAATCATTAATACAGATATGATAACAAATTTTGTTTGAATAGCGGAGAAAAATAATTATAGAAATAAACATCAAATAAGTTTGTGTCAAATGTTTGGGAAAATGAAATAAAAAGCTAATAAAAAACATAAGTTTCCAAAAGCTGTTTCCGGTGCCCGGAGTCGGCTATACGTGAATATGGTATACAGGAGTGAATGGTTTGTTCACTCATTGAGATGTTGAGACTTTTTTAACGCCTCTTTTATTTGGCATTTGGGGTCACAATTGTCAACACCTGCGGTCATAATAGGCTTCTGTTTTGCGTGAATTATAGTTTTGCAAACAATATTTGAATACAAATTATACTCTCATTTAATAAAACTTTTAGAGCAAAAATATTTTTTTTATTAAATTGTAAATTCCTTTAGATATGCTTTCATTCAATAGTTTTGATAGTAATTCATTGAAAATTTAGTTTGGGAAAGAGATTTCGTTTTGAAATTGTGTTCAAATCAAATATTTCCATTCATAACGTCAATAGTTGTATCAAATCATTGAATCCGCTGTTAAATACAAATAAAAGCTTTCATTCAATACTAAACAAATACAATATTGATTCAAATCTAAGAATACGGGTATCTTATCATTGAATTGAATGTTATTTTTAAAGGATTAGACACAACTATAATCGATTGATACTGAATCTCAATCATCTATGTAATAATTCTTGACTTGACTATAAAAAAGCTTTTTGCAGAAAATGTTAGTACTGTATAGATGTCTAACTCTAATCATTAGAGTCTAATGTCATATCATAGATGTTTCATTGAAACGATTTCTTGAATAACATTTAAAACTTAATTTAATAGTAAATCTTTATTATAATAAAACATTAAAGTTTAAATAAATGACAAAATGGTAATTAATAATAAGCAGTAATTAAACCAAAAATATATAAATATTAAAAATATAAATTCAAACCAAACGGCCGTTTATCTGAACTGAAGAGGACTGAGTCTGAGACCAATGGTGTCTTTGCCCACTTGAGCCACACTACAGACTACACACAGTGTGTCCTTATATTGTGGTAAATACGAGGCCTGACATAAGGGACACTTCTCTTCGGGCTTTCCCCTATATATGGGTCTATAACTGGCGGCGCAAATGGCGAAGGGGTTGTGCTCATCGTAATTGAGTTTGTGTTCGTCAACCGGTGTCTTATCGCAGGCCTGGAGTATCTTTCGTGTCTGTGCGCCCACATCAGCCTTTGGCCCCAACTCTAATAGCCTTCGCGCGAAAGCACCGGCCGATTGATAGTTCTTAAGCTTAAAAAATAAGTTCAAAGCAGTTCTTAAGGTAAGAATTTGATGGATTGGTTGGAGTTTGCAATGAGTGAAATAGGCGGCCATTTCGCATAACCTCTTCTGTTGATCCAATGTGTCCTTTGGCTGCCCTTTTCGGTCCAACTCTAGCATAAGACCTAAAGTGTATTCGCGACAGATTTCTAGCAATTGTTCCGCTTCTGTGATGTCTTGTCGCGTGTCTGCCACCAAAAACAGTACATTCAGAAGGAGTGCCCGAAACTTCTCGACCGCTTCTTGGAATTTGCCGCCAGTTGTCAACTGATAGCACGCCTGTAAGCGCTGTATTAAATCGGGAAGTTTGCACCCAATGGCAGGCAAACCGCCTTTAGGTCCGGCGTCGCGCCAATTACGCTGTGGATAGCAATGCAATGTCGAGAGATATGATAATCCCTGGTATGCAGTCTTCGATCGCGAATATATCGTCAGAATCAACGGCTTCAATGGCTCGAAGTTCACGGCACCCACCTATCAATCATACGATTTTCGGTTAATATAACTTTCAGAATAAATATCTGAAATGTGAAACCAATACCTGATCGTGAAGTAGACGACAGGCCGACTCGAAAGAACCGGCCAACACGTGGTCGACCGCCAGCTTAGAGTTGTTAACCCAATGACGAGTGGGAGGAACGCCTTTAGACGGAGGAACAAAGTAATTCTCATCCCCAGCGGCACCGGTGGCTGCACTCGACTCCAATTCAGGCAAATCCAAATCGGCGTCCTCTACGTCCCAACCGGCGCCTTCTCCTCCTTCTTCGTCCTCGCCTTTATCCATGCCTTCGACTCCGTCCTCATCCAAGTCAAGGCCTTCCTCATCATCCCATCCAACGGCTTCCTCGTCGTCAGCAATGATATCAGTGGCAGAAGTGATGTCAGTCTTGCCTTTGAGGGCAGCCATCGCACCCTCAAAGAAGCCGCGGGAGACCGTCAGAAGCGGCCAATTCTCTTCACACGGAGCGATGGGAGGGGGAGGTTGTAGGAGAACAGCATTTGGGTCGGGAGTGGGCAGTGGTTTCTCTGAACCAAAGGCTTCTTTCAGCTCATCGGCCTCTTCGTAGAGTCCATGAGTGGCAGCGCACAGGTATGCCAATGATGTTTGGCCACAATTACGCAATATTTTGATCCTCTCTTCGACGTCACCCAAGAAGAGCGCGATCTGGAACTGACCGGAAGTGTCTTTACGTATTTCAGCGATTTTCATCATTTTTCTCAATTTATCCAAATTTCCGGTCACGACATACAGGAACGACAGTTTGTCAAAGTTTTTGGTCCTCTGATAAGCCATTTCCACCACTTGATGGTTGCCCTGAAGGAGAGCGGCTTCAGCCAAACGCTCCCAACAGGTCTTGTCATCGAGACTACGGGCGGCCTCTAATGCGATCTCAATGTTACCGCACTCTAAGGCCAGTGCAAAGCGGGTCTTCTGGTCTTTCACGAAATGAAGCGCCACTTCAGGGTAACCCTTCTTCTGGAGGTAAGCAATGATCGACTGACCGACGAGTTTGGCATTTCTGACCATAAGTAACACCTCATCGTATTTGCGGTTAACTAACGCCAGTTTGAATCGATATTCTGTCGGATCAATAGTCATGACTTTGGGTTTGGCCTCTCTGTCCAAACAATAGACCGAATTGTTTCGGATTCTCGTGATATAAATGGGCAGATCCAGGGTTCGGATGATACCGTAATCGCCATTAGTTAGCGCATACTTAATGTGATTAGAGATCGTGTATATAAAGACTCCGGAGTCGTCCCACGCGCCGGACTTCACTTTCGTGGTCTCAGTGATTGAGCACAAGATATCCATTCTTCGGTTGCAAACCGTGATCTGGTGTTTGCTTAAGACGGCCACGTGAGTCATCTCGTTGTTCCAGACGACAAACTTCACTTTCGGTGTCTTTACGGTGGCCAATGAGCGGCCCTGTTGTACGTCAAACAGCACCAGACCGTCCACATCACGCAATAACAGCATACGAGTGCCCGCGTAGAAGATCTCATCGCACGGCGGAGTCGTTAGCTTTTTGGTCACTTCGTTCTTCAGGTTCTTAACCACAATAGAATGGGTTCGGTCTAAGACTGCAAACTTATCCCTCGCTATCCACACAGCAGTCAAACCCGACGCTCGTTTCGATTCGGGGGACTCCGGATTGTGTCCGTCGCTGTCCTTCGGGACGACATATAAGTCGTAAATACTATTATCTAAGTTAGCGGTTCTTGTGGTGAGGAGTACGGCATTGGCCGCCAGATTATAACACAGAGAATGGACAGGATTTCGGCCGCGATTTCGTAATTGCATTAATGGTATGTCTTTGGCTGTCGTGAAGTCCAATCGACGCAAGAAGTTCTCCTTAACGTAATAGAGAAGATTGTTTTGAATGGCAAACGCCGGTCTCTCCCTCTCGAGTTTGAAGACAATCATCCCTCCGTCGTGTCCGGCGGCGAACAGGTTCTGCGTCGGGTGGGCCACCATAATCCAGAAGCGGTCGTTCTCTCGCCTGAATGTGTTCAGACACGTCCTCTTCGTCAGGTCCCACACTCTTATGCTCTTATCCTCGGAGTTACTAAGGATTAGATCCTGTTTCGGGTGAAATACAGCGCACGAGACGTTGTTGTAATGGCCGCGACAGGTGTCCACTTCCCAGGCCTTCGAGTCGTTCATTCGCCACAACTTAATCATGCGGTCGTCGGCGCCCGAGACGATCAGTGGCATCGAGTGGTGAAATGCGGCCCAATTGACACCCCTGTCGTGTCCCTCCAACACGTGCTTCACGATGGCGTCCGACGAGCCAAACAGGTCTGTGTGGCCGGGGTTTCGCATGTGATCGTCCAGTCCTCCCGGTCCGGGCGACACATTCTTCTTGCGGAGACCAGAGATGTCCCAAACTCTCACCGTTTGGTCCAAAGACGCGGACACCACTAAATCATCGCTCGGATGAAACAGAGCGCTCATCACATAGTGGTTGTGTCCGGTGAGCACACAGATACAGGTCCTCGACTGCCAGTTCCAGATGCGGATCGTCTGGTCGTCGGAACAGCTCAGGATCCACGGGTACTCGTGATGGAAACACGCCGTCCGGATGTAGTCCAAGTGACCCAAGAGTGTGAATATACAGCGCCGGGACTTATAGTTCCACACCTGAAGACACAACACGAAGAGACAGTTGTAGTGATTGTCACCAGAAATGGTTGAGCCCATCTCAGGGCCTCCTGTTACCTTAATCTTGTAGTCGTCGCCGCCGGACACGAAGAGTGGCTGTTGGTTGTGGAAGAAGACACCCCTAACGGGTCCCTCGTGTTCATCAAACTTGTCGATGAGAGTGCAGACCCTGTAGTCCCACAACTGGATGAGTCCGTTGTGAAGACTGGCCAAAACCCAGGGCCTCTTCGGATGAAAGGCCACTCCCTTCACTCGAGCCGACTTTGTCTCGAATTTGGTTAACATGGCTGACGATGGCTTTTGTTCTTCAGATACTTCTTCCAGTGATTTCAATACTAAGAAAATCATGTATGGATTGAAACCTGGAGTTGAGATCCGATTCAATGCAAACGTGGCTTAACTGCACGTCAGTTAAGAGTATTGCCGGCAATCAGTACCAAAGCACGCAATCTCTCCATAACTCATACGGCGTTTCATCGCTGCGTTCGCCGTATAAGTGATGCCAACGTTTGCGTCGCTGTTGTCAATGTTGTCATACATTTGCGTTCATATATTATGTGCGCAAATAAGGCCAACGTTTAGCACACAATAGGCGGTCGACTGAGTGAACACATGTGGACGTTATTTGCCGTCAAATGAATGGGAGTTTGCAATGAATTGAAAACAAATAACAAACCATTGGATGAAATCTCCACACAAAAACACTTCTTCACAATGAATACCATCTCAACGGTGAAGATGTCTTCAAACACCTTTGATCCGCGAGATCTGGTCAAAGAGCTGACGTCGAAGGCGTCGGTCAGCATCGACGGCCTCCTGATGGCCAGAAAGCAGGTCCAGAGTCTGGCCGATGACACCAACTCTCAGCTCAAGAGAAATGTTTACAAGAATTACTCGCTTTTCATCGAAACGGCGAAAGAGATCTCGTATCTGAAGAACGAGATGTTCCAGTTGTCACACCTCTTGACCGATCAGCAGAACCTCATGTCGTCGCTGTTGGACGTGTCGATCGGCGGTCAGAGGCCGGCGCTGACGGCCAGCGAGAAGAAGGAGGCGTTGGACAGAGTGAAGGAACAGACGGACAAAGTGGTGAACCAGTCGTCGACGACGACGACAACCACTTCTTCGGCGTCCAAAGAGTTGAGTTCACTGTTGGACCGCATCGAAGGCAGCGCTGGTATTCTGGAGACCAGAACCAGAGCTTCGGTTGTGTTTTCTGGAGAACTCATGGAATTGGATGTCAATGACTATAATAAAGCCATTCAACCCATCTTTGCTGTCATTCTCAACGACGGCCTAATCCTGTCGTCAGTACTTCCGATAAACTCTTCGAGAACTCAGAAGAAGTATAAGTTTCAGACAATCTATGAATTAGACGCCATCGCAGTCGTCAACGTAAAGGATCCCAACTTTGAGTCAGCCTTCAAGATATTGATGTTTCCGACGACTCGTGTCTTTCGGACCGATTCTAAACAAACCAAAAACCAATGGTTGGACTCATTCGAGGCCGCGAAGAAGCAGAGGAAGGCATCGCTGACACTACAGCGCAGGGATTCACTGATGTTTATCTCGAGTATGAGTGTCGACGGCAACCAGACGTCGAGTGGCGGCAAAACCCCGATGTCTCCCATCGATAGACCCTATTCTTCGATATTGAATCCCTTCGAAGAGGCGGAACTGCTTGAAGAAGTGGGAGAAACGGACGCAGAATTAGTTCCCCAATGGCTGACAGAATTGCCCGAAGACTTAGACGTGTGTATCGCTCAGCGAAACTTTGAGGACGCGGTCGGACTCGTCCTCAGAGTCAACGAACACTTCGCTGTTTACCCCAAATGTTGCGATAATATAATGCAAACGGACTTAAAGTTACGAATAGAGCACAGAATCAAAGAACTGATCGACGCCTTGACCAACGACTTACAGATAGCGCCCGACCGGTCACTACAAACGGGTCCGCGATCTTCTCGACGTTCAGTGCGACTGTTGTTAAAACTGGGAAAGTCTTCGTTGGCGACCAAACTGTTTCTCAACCAAAGGAGCGCTTTATTGAAGTTCTGTCTCAAACAGCAGAAGATCGACGGCGCGATCCTTCAGTACATCAAACGAATGAGTTCTGTATTCTTCAATAATGTCATCGAAACCACTAAAGAGTTTCAGAAGGCATTTGATTTGACCATTCAATCCAATGGCGGATTAGTGGCCACTCCGCCCTCGTCTCTAATCAACGATCATTTGGGTGTCAATTGCGATAAGTTGTCGCCCACTCAGAGCCAGTCGATAGCGCTATCGATGGCATGTCTAGTGTCTTGGGCTCGCAATCAACTCAACCATTTCATTAGTCTTTTCTCGAGACACGTGTTCACGACTCAGGTGTCCACATCAGTGGCCGCCGAATGTGTGGCTATAATCCGCTACCAGTGCACCAAAATGAGGGCTTCCATTGGAATGGATTTTGTCTATTATTTGGACAAACACTTGAAGACAGACATCGAGCGCATCATTAATGAGATTAAAGACAAACTCCTGGAAGCCATCAAATTGCGAGCCGTCGAAGACAAGTGGTTGTCACAGAACTTTCAAAATAAGATGAAAATGTCGAAGTTCTTGGAGGACATGAAGGAGAACGGCATCTCATCTATTGATAAGTTTGTGTCGGAAGACGTTTGGGTGAATCTCACCTCCAATTCGACCACTTTTGCCAAATCCTATCTAAACGCTATGAAAGACTTACTAAAACTGTCCACTTCTGTGACCAAGAAGTTAGTGTCCGATGCCTTAGTAGTGACTTTTAAGGCGCAGATGAAACACATCGCCAGTTCCCTAAAGAGTCCACAATTGAAGTCTGAGCACAGGTTTATCGAAAAGAATGCCACCTTTTTGTTGGACATTGTGCTCACGTCCAGCGAAACCTATTATCGCGACAAACTTCAGGCCAATGTTTGCGATGAGTTGTCGCGAATGCACTCCGACTACGCGTATCTCAAGGGAAACATTGAACCCAAGCCCAGAACCAGAAGCAAAACCTCCTCTCCCGTCAAAACAACTTATTCTTCGACTACTTATTTATGAAATGTTTATTCATATCTTTATATTAGATTTATTGAAATATTTTAAAGATTTTTTGTAAGATTTTCTAAAAATACTCTCAAATTATGTTATGATTAAAGTGTTAATATATTATTCGTTGTAAGAAATCAAAGTATTGACTTTTATCGGTAGAAACTTTCTATTCGTGAATCTTATCATGAGTAGTGAATTCACACAATGAGATCGGTCCCTATTTTTGTTTATCAAACATATTACCACTATGTCTTATCACTCAAACTATTATTGTGAATACAGTAATATAAGTGAACTCAAGAACTTTTATGGTATTGTAGCTGATTTTTAATGATTCACATTTAAATATGACTAACTTGTAAAGTTACAGTCAATTTACAACTACGGTTTTATGTGATTCACTATACAGTATGTGGTAAATGCCATATACTGTATCTGATTGTGTTGACAACTTTGACACTATCATTAAGATATTGTCATATGATATGTCACATTGAGGTTGAGGGCAATTATTGTACTTCATGTTATTTCGGTGTTTATCGCAACAAATAGTTACCATAAATCCAAAAACAGTACATTATCAATAAATTCTCAATCAACCTATAATATCAAATATTTTAATAGCTAATCATACGGTAATTTTAATACAAATGACATATATATATAGGCAATTATTTGATTGCATTTTGCCAATCAATTATAGAAATATTTATTTTAAATCAGATATAATTAGAAAATTATATTTTAAGACAAATATAAGAATGGATCCAAATTTTAAAAACAGATAAATAAATCTCTAATCAGAATCACTATATACAGAGTAGTGGTTGAAGCGTTGGCTCTCAATGGGCTGCTTTACGATGACAACGGATCCCAGACTCGGCGGTCGGGAACTAGAATTGGTTGAAGTAGTGGTCGAAGTAGTGGTCGAAACGGGCTTTCGATCGAAATCCAAGTATCGTTTGTCGCCATTCGGCGAATATCTCACTCGTTTCGAGTCGGAGCTGTGTTTGCGATGACTTCTATGCTTGTGTTGCCTTTTGTTCAAACTTTTGGTCAATTGTTTCAATTCGTCGCTCGAAGAACTCGACGAAGAGCTCGATGTCGACGACGAGCGATAGTGTCGAGACATTCGCCGCCATTTCTGTTTGTGTCTCTCTTTATCTTTTTCTCTCTCTTTGTTACGAGACTTATGTTTGCCTTTTCTCTTGTCAGACGGGGATCGGGACCGCGATTTGGAACGGGATCTCACGCTCGACCGCTTTCTGTGCTTCACTTTCTTAGACTTCTTTGATTTCTTCACTTTATGCGACTCTTTAGTGTTGTTTTCGTCATCTTGTTGTTCGTCCGATGAAATCAAATTCACAAACTCTGGAGTCCTTTCGTGTAATGGCTTAACGTATCCCACGATTAACACTGAGGAACAGCTGGTGTCCGAATCGTTGCCATTCCTCTCATTACTATTGCCATCAGTTGTCTTGTTTTCAATGTTGGCCTCTGTTTTGACTTCTGGTTTGTAGTTCTTCTCAAAGCGAGCGATTGCGGCCTCGAGTTCATCGCCGACGTCAACATCGGTGTCACTGTCCGACCACTTGGTTTGGGCGGTACTTCTCATACTACGCGACAAACCACTGGTTCCCGGTTTGGGATTATCGAAGTCATCGATAATATTAATGTTACGGAAGTTAACGTCTGGTAAGTCTCCGCGTGGGAGAGGAGTAGGGTTTGAGACGTCAACCGATATGTCTTTATTAGAAGACACTTCAGATTCAGCCCTCGTCTCGTGAAGGGATGGTGTGTTGACGGGAGAGGGAGTAATAAGTTGTCTGATTTCTGTGGACGACTCGCCACTGTCTGACCCGTCGATTGAGAAGATATCGGGACTTTGAGGCGAACTGATTGTCGGCATTCCTCTTCTGTGTGGGTTAGGTGTAGGCGCCATACCAATGAAGGGATCGTCTAATATCTCAATACTAGAACCAGAACTGGATATGGATTCAGGAGATAACCCATAGGGTGGCGATAAACGCTGTGGAGAGTCGGTCTCCATTTGGTAACCTATAGGGCCGGGCAGTGGTTCGGACTCGACGATGTCAGCCCTATGTCTGGGCACATATGTGGCATTCCTGGTGTACTGCTCCATATCGTACGGACTTCTGGCAAAGTTGTAGAACTCGTGTATGAAGTGATTAGTCCTGTTGTGAGTGAACGGCGCTATAATCTTC